TGCAAGTCAGTTACACAGATTAATTTACCTGTCATCTTTTCTCCTCCGAACATGTTTAGGGTAGATAAACACTGACAGAAAGTGTTGGCTGAAAGAAATAAACAGCGGTAAGTATTAATAATTCTTTCAACTCGGTTTTTCCTGTGAAATGTGAAAGGGAAGTTATGAAACTCCAGGTGTGGGCTACGGCTCGTGAATTGGAAATCGCCGTATCAGATTGATTTGTCATTTCCGGAAAGGGGCCGAGTGTGTTCATTTTCTGTCTTGTTTGTACACCGCTTTGTCAGTTTTCATATGGTTGGAGCTGCTTGCAAAGCTCAGCGCTAGACGGATGGTTCATGGCGAGCAAAATTAGCTTCAACTTCACAGCGAGAGCCTTCATAATGCGCTCATACTTTAATTGACTTGTGTGTGTCCTGTTCTACCAGGAAAGCCATCCATAAAACAAGCTTCTTAGTGTGCAGTCTGCACTCTAGATATATATTTTGTCCTCGAATGCATTTTTTGCTTATGTAAATCTATTTATCCATCCATCCATCCATCCATCTTATTTTTATGGTAACACTTTACATTAAGCAACACATATTCACTATCAACTATAGGGCTTTTTCACTCAGTTAACTCCTAATTACTGCGTACTGATAGTAAGTAAGGTGGTGGTTATGTTAAGGTATTGGGTAGGATTAAGGGATGTAGCATTAATATATTCTTTATAAGTACTAATAAACAGCCGTAATGTTAATAATATGCATGCTAAGCAACTAATTGCGAATAGTGTTCCCGAAGTTTTTGGAATGTATTTAGAAAGATATGTTTTGGGTTAATTAGAGCAAGAGTTTTTCTAACTCACAAAGAGCATTTAAAAGGGACATTAAAGACTGCATTGAAATAAATGTAAATCTGAGAAGTGTTTCTTAAAATGCATGATTTTTTTGAGTACTTTTAAGTACTTTGATGCAGTTTTCTACTATCTCATAAATGGTTGTCTGAGCGCTTTCATCCTCGTCATTCGTCCTCAAAAGGAAAGATGAAAGAAATTATTTCCGGACCCTCAGACGTTTCCCTCTCAAGATTAGAACGCCAGCCAAGACAATGGCTCTCTTATAACATTAATGATTATGTAAAATGGATAGCCTTTGATCAGACATGTGCCTCCCGAGAAAACATGCTTAATGAAATATTCAGATGATATTCAGATGATCACTTACTGAATTTGAACTTTGCACCACAGACATTATATTGAGCTTATGCATCATGATAGTTTGTATCGTTGCAGATAAAGTCCCTTTGAAATCAAAATGATAGTTTTGCGACTTTTATTAGCCAACCGGACTGTGATGTAAACTACATTCTGTTCGAGTTGCAGTTTCCACACATGTTATTATTAGTACAGTACTTAATACTTAAACCATAAAAAATGTTTACGTTTATATGAGCTGTGTGATGGAGAGCCAAACGACGACAGCAGATTTAATTAAATGTCGATGTATTGTCCAGCAGAAAGCAGACAACAAAATTGAACACAGCGCACGCTTCATCCCACACCATCATAAAACACAATGATGTTGTGAACATGACACTGCATTAAAACTACAGCATTACAAGGTGCACACAAACTAGCTTAATTAAACACATAGTATTAAACATAAATAGATCAATATCAATATTCCAGCGATTGCTGCAATGTTATGATGTTGTAGCTGATTGTTTGGATGTTGCTATGTAGCTGCTAGGGCATTGTGGGTGGTTGCTAGGGTGTTGCTAGATGGTGTAAACTGAAAAGAGTGTCTGTGATATTCTGATCTCTAGATTTTACCCCGGTCTATTGGACCAGAAAATCATAAATCTGATTGCTTAGAAAAGTAACAGCATGATTTGAGGTATAAATCATTTCCATAGCGCAAACGCTGTGGGCGCATAAAGTTTAATACCTTGGGTTTTGGGTTTGTGCACGCAAGCTACTTTTGAACAGTCAATCTCAAAAACCTCCACAAGCGTAGTAACCTACATTGCTAAATCACTGCTTTTGTCTCCACTTTTAGGAGGCTTAAAACAGATGCATGGAGGGAATTAGGTCAGACATTTTTTTCCTAACTAGAAATCCATATTAAATACATCAGTGTTCCCTAAATTGTAATTGGTTGGACTTTTCTATGAGCTGAAAGGCCAGCATATCTGTGAATGCAGCAGTGAGTTTAGCCGGCGGTTCTGTGTTTATTTAAACAACACTGACAGATCAAATGTAAGAAAGACGGTATGCAATCACAAATGCAGACGCTAATTAACATAATTCAGCACAGATTAAGGATTCATTGGTTTATTGAGACGGATGCCGCTTTTGTTTTCCAACTCATTAATTTATTAAATGATCCATCTCAATTGTTTGCCTTTTCAGTTCATGTTTAATTCCTCATTCATATCTGCACTCCACCTCGCGGCAAAGCTTTGTGAAAGTCTCATTTATTTGTAATCCTTTCTACACTTCTCCTCTCAATCATGTATTGTTAGTAAATGAAGACATTGGGATGGCAGATATATCACTTATTAACCAGTCTCAAATCCTCATGAATAATGCACTCAATTGACCGCCTTCGAATGTTATTGACCCAATCCTGCCTTAGCGGCTGTTGCTGTGTGCAATATTGTGATCTGACAAGGTTTGGCTCCCTTCTAAAGATTTTTTTTTGCAATTTTACGTTTTTAGGACACATTTATCAATACTTTTTCAAAACTATTCACACAGTTCTCCTAACCAACTTTCATTTCACATTCCTAATGCACTAATGCACTACCTTCATTCATCATGTCTCAAATCAACTAATTTTCCATAACACAAGCAAAGTTTGTCATTCAACAAACACGCTTTGTCACTCATACTGTAGAACAAAAACCTAAAAGACACTAACAACAGGCAGCATTATACAATGTAAAATTGGTAAAATTTCTTTACAAAACAAGACCGACTCTCTATACTGTTTAGAATTCACTGCAGTTTTTGTTACATAGTCCATGTTTGTATTACTGGACCAAATTACAAATATATATATATATTAGTATATATTAAATTTTAGTCCAATGGTTAGTCCAGTTATGCCGTCCCATCGCGCAAAGAATTTATTCTGCAAATGTGTTTCCATTGTAGTTTATGCACATGTTTTCTTATGAGATAAAAAGTTTATCTGACTCAAATATGCGCATCTTGGCGTTTCCATCCAGCGTTTTTTTTTTTTTGCTGGATGGAAATCCCAAAATGCACATAAAAATAGGTGGAAACATAGCTATTGTTTTGGTACAAAATGCATTCAATGATAAATGATCCACAGTTTAGCCACATAGACTGATGCTGTGCTCACTGTGTGAAGAGTTTTGAAGAAGGATTGAGAAATGGGTCCTTGCGATTGGAAAAAGCTGTAATATCCAGTCAATATATTTTACCGCTTTAGCACACTTTATCGAAAATTAAATTGACCAAAAGGGCGGAGCTTAGCAAAGGGTAATTTCTAATAGAAACTGCTGTGAGATTATTCCGAGCGTTGTTCTCGTGATGCAGAAAGGACAAGTCTCTCATTAGGATTAAGATGTGGTTGGTAATAAGTTCCCTAGCTGCGATGAGATGGCAGGTTGGGTTTGTTAATATCCTCCTCGTGTTGTGATGTGATCCACTGAGAGAAGTCGACTTCTGCTGTACGAGCGGCTCAGTTGTTTACTGAAGAGTCAATTTGAGGTTAATGGATTTTCCTTTTCCTGTTTGAGACAATTTGGTTTTCTAATAAGTAATTTTCTTGGAAACTGTGATGCTTGACACATGTAGGCTTTGCATATTTTAAATAAACTCTTTTAATATGTTAAAATTTCTCATGAAAAGTAATGTTGAGGCATATGTTAACAAAGCTCACCTTTAACGTATGTTTTTTTAAAATGAGATTCAAAGGTTAATTTAGTTAACGTTCCTCTCTGCTGTGGTCAAGCTTTGCATTGTGAGGTTAATTGTGACTATTTCTACTGTAAGCGAGTTGAAGTGAAGCTTTATTTACAACACTTGAACAAATACAAATAAACAAAACATGACGTTGGCATGACTTAACTATAACAACTTGAACATGAACATAAACCTGAATATATACAATGGTGACATGAGGGTTATATTTACACAAAGTCTAATGACTTAACAAGACACACCTGGACACAATAAACCAATAAGAACACGGCACATGAACCCAGAGAACCAATCAAAACATTACATGAGACTGGGGAGAAGCACATAACATGATCACATGTGGGCAAGGAATCACATGACAAACAGGAACCATAAGTTTGACTAAACTTCAAAATAAAAGACATGAAACATGACATTAATGTCATGAAATGGTTTTTGCAAACCATTTTATTTCCACAATGTATCTTGCTTTTTAATGTTTTTGTATCTCTGCTCACCAAATCTGCATTTATTTGATCAAAAATACAATACAGTAAAAACAGTAATATTGTGAAATATTTTTACAATTTAAAACAGCTGTTTTCTATGTGAATATATTGTGAAATGTAATTTATTCCTGTGATCAAAGTTGAATTTTCAGCATCATTACTCCAGTCTTCAGTGTCACATGATCCTTCAGAAATCACTCTAATATGTCTGATATTTATGAGTTAATTTGTTTACAATTCAGGTCATATTATATAAAATTATTCATCTATTTACTGTCATTTTTTGATTAATTGAATGCATCCTTTCTGGATAAAAGTATTCATTTTAATTTTCCCAAACATTTGAACAGTAGTGTATATATGTTTCAAGTTATTATTCCTCTAGTTCCTCCACAGAAAGTTCACAATGTTCTCATTGATCAATTTCAATAAATTCTCTTTTTTGACTTTCATAGTGCAAGGAACTTTTTATATTTCAAAATTGCGATTCTTCATAACATGAGGTCAATTCTAATCTCACGTTAACATCTGTTAAATAAAGTGTCTCTCTTGCTTGTCTCTCGTTGTTCCTTTAGTCCTGGTGCTGCTGATCTTGACCCTCAAACGTCACAGGAAGGGCCAGCGCATGTCCGAAGATGAGGAGGACATGCGCGACAACGTCATCAAATACAACGACGAGGGCGGCGGAGAGCAAGACACCCAGGCGTACGACATGAGCGCCCTGCGCAACCTCTACGACTTTCCAGAGGTCAAAAGCTCGGATTCTGGCCCTGACCTGCGCTCCGTCCCTCAGTGGATCCAAAACAGAGTGGTAGGAGACGGCGGGCCGGCCGACTTCACGGTTTTCAAAGGCTACATACGCAAGAAGGTCGAGCAAGCGGACGCGGACTTATCGGTGCCGCCTTACGACTCGTTCCAGACTTACGCTTTCGAGGGCAGCAGCTCGCCGGCTCTCTCGCTGAGCTCCATCCGTACGCTATCCACAACCTCAGAGCAGGACTTCTCATACCTCAGCGATTGGGGGCCGCGCTTCAGGCAGCTGGCGGGCTACTACGCCCCGGCCCAAGCTGAAGAAGAGGGGTCCTAGCACCATGCTCTCCCCTGATCCGCTCTCAGAGACCCTACTGTCCCGGTCCTGGAGTCGTTTTCCTCCCTGACGCTTTCGCCCACAGTTCCGCAGTGACGTTTGTTGGATCCCGGTTAGTCCGGAGAGATTTAATGTCACCCGTTACACTTTGCAAAGTGACTTCTTGTCTTGTAGAAAAGTTCAGGACAAATATTGAAGGAGAAGAGCATTAGGCCGGGTGCTGGGCAAACCTCCAACATCTTCTCACCTGTCAGAGAGAGCAAGAAGAAGCGGGGCCGTGCCATATGCACTACTCAAAACTCCCTTTGTTTCAGGTTGGGTTTTTTTTTGTGTGGTTTCTTTGCCCATCTGTGGAAATAAGGACTTTAACTCACTGAGATCTGGAGGAAGACAATGGAAATGTCTTTTTAAAAACCAACATTTAAAAAAACCTTAAATAAATATGTATTTATTTAAAGAAAAAAAAGAAAAAAGAAAAGAAAAAGTAAAACAATATTTATGTATTTATTGCTTTCTATTTATTTATTTATCCATCCTGGCAATGGACTGAAATAGAAAAAAATGGACATCATTTTTGAAGAATATTGAAGTTGTCAGGGTGACAGACAAAGACTGAATATGACTGGGGGGGGGGGGGGGGGGGGGGGGGGGCGAGTTGGGGTGGGATTGTTGAATCGAGTTTGCAAACTATCAGTGACAGTAAATCAGTCTTGAAAATATTTGTATTTATTTTTTAGAGACTCTTTTTGTAAAATACGAAACCAATTCGGGTGGAGAAAAGTAACAGCTATTGGGATGAATCTCACGAACACATGCCCACAAATCATGAGAATAAAATAAGAAAATACATTTTGCATGAAGATAATGAAGTCTGTTTTAAGGGAGCAAGGTTTGTGATATAGTTCTTATGGAAATTAAGCACATTCTCCCTCCAAATGTTTTTTTTTTTTTTTTTGTATTTCTCATTATTCCCAATAGATCCTTTGGTCTGTAATAATATAGTTAAATTACTGTAATTTGTATTACAGTAGGGAGAATTTGTGGAAAATGTGATTAATTGTCATAAAAAATAATTACTAGGCTTCATTTACTTTCTGCAAAATATGATTGAATATTTCTTTCTTTGATTCTGAAGTGAAATAATTCCTTGGCAGGTTTCGTGAACATTGGTTTTGTCTTGTCATACATTTTGTGTGTTGTGTTGCTTTTCAACTTATTATCCAGATGCCTTGCTGTGGAAGTTGTGTTCGGCATTGAATCTTTTCAAGGGGGATTTTGAAAGACAACATGGCACAATACACGACAAGAGACAAAACAGGCCATCTGACAGGTTCTTTATCAGTTCTTTTTTAGACATCCCAAGATATACGTTCATTGATGATTCATGCGTGTGCCAACGGGACGTTTCCAGATGGCTTTCCTGGGGTGATTTGATTGGTTTTTGATCATTGTGTGTTGGGTTGAGGCTGATGAACGAGAGCGTTTTTCCCAGCACCCTTAAATGTCCACCCAAACATGCAGATGTATGGCTAAAATACAATTGAAATCATAAATAAATATTTACGTTTTTTCAAGATTTTTCGAATGCTGAGTTTTTGTGCCACAAAAAGAGTAAAAACAAATTTCTTGCATTTTAATAGCAATTACATGCATTTTAGTTGCAAATTCTTATTCTAATCTCTGTAATAGGGATGCACCGATATGAAAATTTTGGCCGATATCGATAACCGATAATTCTTTATAACTGAAAGCCGATAACCGATATATTGCCCGATAAATCTAAATCCAAATTTTGATATAATTTTGGAGAGCCTGATAGCAAAAACAAAAGTCTCACCAATAAAAGCCACGTCCCAAACACACAATTATAATGTTCTCATTCGAATTTTATGTAGCCTATCTGACAGACTGCACGTTGCACTGTGTTTGTCTTTCTTTCTTTTCTTATTTTTGAAGTGATTCCAATCATATTTCAGGCAATTCAAAACCATCATGGTGAACAGTGCGCATCTGAAGCGTCTCAGCTGAAGGAAAGAATCTATTATCTGTCTGCTTTATATGTCGGGCAAATGTTCTTATCGGGACGATAAAATGAACATATATCAGCCGATACCGATATGGTGGCCGATATATCGTGCATCCCTACTCTGTATGCATCCAGATTTTATTTTTTATTGTCTTTTGTAATTCTCATTGTTCTTAGTGATGGTTCTCATTATTGTAATACAGTACCCTTTCTAAAAATATATAATAAAATGATTTACTTTATGCAAAATGATTACAATTTGCATAAATGAAGCGCAACATAAGAAATACTGCTGTGATGTATAAATAATTTAAATAATGTGTCTGTTTTTGCTTTACAGCAATGAGAATATTAGGAGAAAATGTTAATTTTCATAAATATAATGTCACTTTTATAATTTTCTTAATGCAAATTTGTCGTTTTTTTCCAGCCCTCTGATTCTGGAGGGAAATGTGACTCGGATGAGGTTTTGTCAGGAAAAGGCCGCTATGAACTGATGATGATGTTGAACACGGGGATGTCGCTCTAACACACAGTGCAGCAGCAGATGTTCTCATTTTACTTTGGCTTGTTTTTGCTTTGAGCCGCGACTGCGTTTGATGGATGAGCTCTTATGGCAGTGTATAAACCTGCACACGTCACTGGCCACCCAGAGCAAGTCTAGACAGACGTTTCAAAACACAGTGTTTGCGCAGAATCAAAATAGTTCAAAGATCAAAACAGCCCACAATTATAGAAAGAAGCACAAGGCTAATGCAGGCTGAAGATGGAATCGTGCCGTAGATGATTCATCCAATCTTCTCGTGTTTTATTAAAAGGTAACAGGGAAATGACAGAATGGAATTACGTGTTCTTTGACCTTGATCTTCATTGACAGTCGTCCATGCGGGATCATTACGCTGTTAAAGGAATTCCGAAGCCCCAGAGCCGTAATGAAATCCTCATCAAGCAAATGTCATGGAGATGTAGCCACTGACTGATGTGCAGAAGAACAAGAGTGTGTATCGCTCCCAGGCAACGTGTGTGTGTCTGTTTTGTCCTCGTATTTAATTTAAAAGAACACAGGCTCATTCCTCTGTCAACATTCCCTGGAGAACATTCCAAGTCTAGTTTAACATCATATTTTGAATGAATGAACTCTTGTTAATGTGATTCAGTCATTGGATCAATTTGGTGATCATTTTCATTTTATGGCTGATATTTTATATCAGTGTTATTCTAGTATTATATACTAATATAGTATTTATTAATATTTCGAATTAGCTTTTATTTTTATATTTTTAGCATTCATTTTCATTTTTGCCATTTTTATTAGTATTGTATAATTATATTTAGCTTTCATTTATTTTCATTTCAGTAATTGTATTATTTTCAAATGAAACTTATTAGTAACACTTTAAAATAAGGTTTTATTTGTTACAGTGTTAGTTTAGTTTTATTCATATTTTGCATTAGCTTTTATTTTTAGTTTTTTTAGTTTTATTGTTAATTTTAGTTACGTTTTTTTGTCAATTTGTTCTGTGCCTTTGTAATTTTATATTTTATTTCAGTCAGCTCCCAAGGCAACATTTCTAATTAAACGATTGCAATAGTTTTAATTTTAGTTAACAATAGCAACGCTGTACGGTTTGGTCTGTACAGAATATACACTTGTGATGATTAACATCACTGAACCCCCTGATAAAAACAACCAGAACAATTGCTATAATTGATTGTGCATTGAAACAAATCGAATCCATCTGCAAATATTGACGTTAATGTGACGTGGCGACAGAGTCGAACATCACTCAGTGAAAACAAACCAGAATGATTGTCTCTGGGACAAACACGGCTATCTGTGTTTCAGATCGAGAATACCAATATGATCTGGAGTAGAAACCAATGTTCTGTGTTGAGAAAAACTCTCAACGTTTGTTTACCCGATCAGGATTTGTTTGCGAACAATTATCATCTTACATATCCATTGTGTCTCTGATAGAAGAGCGCAGGATTCTGTCTCATGGATACTCACCGTATACTGTTGGACTTGAATAAGAAAGAGATTTCATCAAGTCTAAACTTACACACTCGTGTCAATCATCATGGCGAACTTAATAAGTCTTATTATTCAAATCCTGACAGCAGTTTTGTGAACATGCATATTTACTCATCTGACTTGCGCAAAACCAGACTCAGTATTCCTGAATAAATATAGTGAAATGCAAACACAGAATATTACATATTAAATACGTTAAATAACACAAATATACTTTATGCATTTAATCTCACTTTATTTACCAATGTCTTCGCTGCTGACCTTCTATGATCCACTTCAACCATAATAAGCAAAAATGACTTTAACTAAACCACAATTGTGTTTGGTTTTGAGCTGCAGCCTTTACTGTACATGTGTGTATGAGTATTTCCTTCCTGAGGCTTATTCATTTCACTTCTGTGTTACGTTTGCCAAAAATAGAACATTTAGGGTTTTTGTTATTTAAAAAAACACACAAAAAAAAACAAGCCCAGTCCAGGGGCCTCATTTATAACCGTTGCGTATGCACAAAACAGGCCCTGAAAGAGGCGTACAGCACTTCCGACGCATAAGTTGTGATTTATAAAAACAAACTTGACGGAAAAATGTGCGCACCTGCACACAAACTCTGACCCATGCGTACGAACGTTTTGGAGACGGAGCAGTTTGGCGACACCGATGGTGAGCTGGAGTTAAATGTCTTTTTGGTCACTTTTAGACAGAAAATCTAAAGAAAATTATACATAGGCTATACAGAAATATAATACAAATATAATTTCACTCACCAAGCATATCACTTGAGTTGAGGCAAATATTCATCCCTTCTTAAATGTCCGCGCCAGCGAGCGCGTTGTGCCGTTTAGTGAAACTAACGCCTATCTAACGACAGAGTCCTAATCATAAAAACAGTGCATGTTCACAATAACAGTTTAAATAAATAAAAGAATGATTTAAACTGTTTTACTTCTGATATAAACATTTAGATTAAATATGCCATTGTCATTGATGGAGTTAAACACTTAAACATGAAATCATTACTGAGAAGTTACAACATTTTTTATATTCAATAAATATAAATATTTGTTGTGGATGCAATGCTTTTGAAAACTTTTCCTCTGGCATGCTGTGTTTTAATGTTTTAACTAAAGAGATAATTGCTTATAGCAGATTGTCTGAGAAAATAGTTTCGTGCAAATAATGCACAACAGTCTATCTGTTTCCATTAAAAATATAAATCAATAAAAAAATACTATTTGGTCAGTGGAAAAGATTGTGAAAACTTTCTCTGAAATGTATTTTACACTATTTGATTTATTTATTAAAAAACAAGGCAAGGATAGGCTACTAAATTATTTTTTATTAATGTAGGCTAATGTGACGGCACATCCGTATTAGGCTATTTCATATTTTCCTAATGTCTTGTACCGTTAAACATGTTATCACGTGGATGAATAATCATATGCAAATGATATGCATAGTAAAACTAGGTGTTGTAAGCTCCATATATGGTTATTTCGGGGAGGAGACGCATGTGCGGACAATCTTCCGCTGACTGGGATTTATC